TTACGATTATATTATGTACACGATTTTTAAGATTATACACTGACCTAGAATGAGTTGATTAATCAGAAAGTGTTTGGTTTTTATAAATATCAGGGAATTATTAAAGTAGAAAATTTCCTTAAAAATTACTTTGAAAAATTTTTTTCTTCAAAAATTTTTTTATTCAATTTAATAAAGTTTTTAAATCAATGAATAATTCTAGTCGTACTGTTTATTTATTTGAAAGAGATATAAATACGTGGTTTTTGTTTGTGATAAAATTTGCTCTTTGATTGAATCAAATATGTCTTTTTGTTAGAAAAACATTTTACGATATAGAGGTGTCGAAGCCAGAGGCTGAACTATATCACTCGACTGTTGTCATTTAATCAATTGACTTAATATTGTAATTGTCAAATGCAACCAGATGTTAAGACCTATTTTTCTTTGAAATTCCATGTGTACGCTGTATTCCATGTGTAGGTTCTGGTGACTGATTGATCATAATTTGATCAATCAGTTAATAATCATACATAACTGATCCTGATTAATATTCAGCTGTCAGGTAAGTGAAGTGACGTCAGCTTAGACATCACTATAAATTATGTTATTACTTTAATTTAATGCAGATGTTTTGGTAATTTTTTTATATCATGCTTTCATATGAATGCTTGTTATGAATCATTCTAATAAAATGTAATTTTGACTATGATTTATACTAAAATATTAAATATTATTAACAACTTAAATATTGAATTTTATTATTATTGGATATGTTTCTTCGGGGATCTATGTCACAATTTAAGATATGTCACAATCTAATAAAATTTAAGTTTCACCTCTTAAACTACTTCAGATATGTTTTTTTTTGGCATTTATGTCACATTTTAAGATTTTATTCAATCTAATAAAATTTAAACCTTACCACTTAAACCACATCAGATATGTTTTTTGTATCACATTTTAGCATAGACACAAGATTTTTAACTCAATGTAAGTTTCAGTGTCTTTTTTAAAAAAAATTTAATTTGATCACTTAAACAAAATCAGATATGTTTTAAGGCTTATTTTAGAATGGGCTCAAAATTTTTGAATTCTAAGTAAATAATTTTTTTAACAATAATTTCAATTTTGCCAACTAGCTCTTCTATGGATGGGGATTTCTAAAGAGTTTACCATTTTTGGTATCATACGCTAAATTTTATAAAATATTTTTACAAACTAATAAGAAGTGAGTTCTGTGATACATAGTCAATGGAGCCGTATTGCTTCAGGAATATTTCGACTTTTAATTTATCAATCAATCATAATTTTTATGTGACATCTTTATTTGATAATAATTCTTTTATAAAAGTTTCGAATAATTCTGTTTGAAAAAACAAACTCTAATAGAATATACTAAAATTTTAAATTACAATCATTTCGATTGATTATTTTCAAAAGTTTAGAGAAAACTCTTATTGGTATAACTGGTTTATTTAAATTTCACCAATCTCAATAGCCCAATGTATATTTTACGTCAAAAAAGAAACAAGAAAAACTGCAGTTATTACAGAGCAAGCAAATATTTTCTATTGCAAAAAATGTCGGTATTAGTACAATGAGATTACACGGAAACTATGCACTAGATTGTTCGAAAAGCCGACTGTTGAATGATTGTTCATGTAATGGTGAAAGCAATTCCAAGCGTTTTCCATTGGCTCCGTGTCACAGAAATTGCCCAATTATGGTCATTTTGAGTTTTTTCCTAAGTTTAAATATTTGTTTTGGTCGATCAAAATCGATCACTTCGTAGTTTAAACAACAATAAGTTAGCAACAGGTTTCAAACCTGATAAAGACCAACTTCCTGTGGTTTATTTATGCTTAATTTTGAATTTAAATCACCATCCATAGTTTGATATTAAACTGAAAGGTATGCAAAACGACATATGCAATTACGAAAATCTTATCCATTTACAGTATATGTTCTACATCGACTAATTTTAGAACGAATAATCAGTTATTCATTAAACTACAAACTACATGGCAGCTATTTGACACACGTGCATTAATAAGCAAACATTTTATAAGCACATAATGACATAATAAGACATCATATTTATGGATACCTATTTTTCCGTCAAATTCTACAAGGTCTTATCACAGAAAATATTTTTGTCATTTTTATATTCAATTGAATAAAAATTAAATATAAAAATTCATTATTTTGAGTATGAATGAAATATTTACATGAAAAGATAGGAATCAAGAGAATATTTTAATATTATTCACATTTACCTTTTAAAGTGTGTCCGAGACTCAAAAACCATGAGTTGTTTTTTATTATTAAAGTAATGATTTTTTTTTACTTTAAGTAATTTTTCAAATGGTGGGAAATGTAGTCTTTTTTATTACCTCATCTGCAATGCGAGATAAGATTTGATTTCATTTTCAGCCAGATCTTTGAAAGATATATATATATATATATATATATATATATATTAATCTTAAAATCTTAATTACAATGCAGGATAAGATTTCGTTTTTCCCAATAGATTTCAAATGGTGAAAATGTAGCTTTATTTTAATTATAATTCGAGATAAGACTAGATTCAGAATTTAATCTTTCTAGAGAGTTCTTTCTTTAGAGAATTTAAGCTTTCGATCTAGACTTTTAATATGAAATAAGAATTGGTTTCATTTTCAATCCCCGATCACATCGCATCCTGCGCTAGAGGTGGGCTAAGCGGATATTACAATATCCATTCATACGTATTTTTTCAAACATTTTGCTTTGATATTTTAATCAATTGTATCAACGTTCTACTCGGATATGAAACATTTTGTTTCAATCTGAGAGCTCATTTTCATGGCAATGATTCTATATTTTAGTAAATTTAATTCAATTTGTTTTCAAGGAATTTTTAAATCAGTTTACTTTTATAATTTAAAATGTAAATTTCACGTTTAAAATATTTTTAAATTGTTTGAAATATTAATAAGATATTGACGGTGAATTAAAGTAAAAGCATTTTTATTGATATAAAAATATCTAAACACTAAACAATAATATTTTCAGTGTTCTCAAAAATTAGAAGCATTACTTTAAAAAGGAAAAAAAACTATTGAACACTATAAGAGTAGTTGGCATTTTTGGTATACTTTATGCACAAACGTACGAACAGACAATTAAAACGATTTTCTTAAAAAAATTTAAAAATTTAGTGAAAAAATTTCAAAAAATTCAATAAAATACAAAAATATTTTTAAAAAATTCATAAAAGTGCCATTGATTCCATTAAATATGAAATTATTATATTGATAATGATTGTAATAGAGAATTGTTAAAATTCGAGAGATGAGAATTTTTTTTAATGTTAAATGGTATAAGGAAGGCTTCTTTTTATTGATTATATGAGCATATTTTAAAACATTTGTCTTTCTGGTGCATTTTATACATTCACTCTTTGTTTCATTCATATTTGTAAACCTTGTCACTTAATGATCTAATGCATTTTAGAATACGTGACCTAACTGAAAACAGTTTAGCGTAGCTTTGTTCCGTTCAGCAAATAACTGCTTTGCTCTGTACACAAAGGTTCGAAATGTTGTATAAAAATACAAAATCATTCTATGTTGTGCAGCTCTGTAACAAATTTATTGAAAGTAACGTTCTAATTCGATAATTTTTCTAGCATTTGTATTTTCATTGCGATCCAGACTTGAAAAACAGAGATGTCACGCAACTGTGAATGATTATGCACAGCGCGACAAATAATAATAATAATAATAAAAAACGGACTACCCTGATTAGTTTTTGTTATTGTTAATGATTATGTAATGGAGCATGCATCACTTGAATACACGTAGTCTATAAAGGTACTCTATAAGAGATATATATTAATTGTACCAGTAAAACATATGTTTTACCACTTGAATACACGTAGTCTATAAAGGTACTTTATAAGAGATATATATTAATTGTACCAGTAAAACATGTGTTTTACCCCTTGAATACACGTAGTCTATAAAGGTACTATATAAGAGATATATATTAATTGTACCTGTAAAACATGTGTTTCATTAAGGGTATAAAGTATCTTTAAATTTCAGAAATGCAAATGCATTTTTAAAATTCCGAGGATAAAGCTAAAGTTTTGCCTCTGAAATCAGAGGCATTGTTCTTAAAGTGGATCAATTCAAGCAAAGCTTAGAATACGTAGCCTTTAAAATCTGTAGTTTTCTTGAAAAATGTAAGAAAAGAAAAACTATATGATCTTTTAATAAATCTTGCACGGAATATGACTATCGTTGGAAAGACATTGCGATCTAGTCTAATTAAACAAGTTTGTTTCGAATTGTTGTATAAAATGAAAATATTCGACTAGAATAATTGTAAAAAATAGCAAATAAGTACTCTAAAGTAAATGAACTTTTCCTCTTCACAGATGAAATTAAAGAAAGATAAACATAATCCGAGTACTCGAATACAGCAAAACAAGAGAAGGGTGGAAATTGAAACTGCTTAGAAATAAAAAAAAAAGGCTCAGTTCTCAAGAAAAAAAATTAAAGAAACTAATGAAACGCGGTAGTTAATAGAAAGGAATGAATAATTAGGTAGATCAGGACAGAATATATTTTTATGCGTAATGCAGTGTCTGGGATAGAATCGGCACTGTTATGAATAAATTATGGCTCAGCCTGATGCTCTTTGATTTGTTTTAAAGGCCCATATTCACTAAATTTGATTTTGAGGGCTATAATATACATAAATATATATATAAATATTCATTTGTAAAAGTATAAGGCAACATTTAAAGAATTTCCCTCCATTCATTAACTAACGATGGACTAGTAGTAAATGATATTCTAAAATCTATTTCAAATATATAATTTTTCATACATAATTTTACATCATTTGAAAAATAATAACATCATTTTATTATAAATAACTGAAATGTTTTTGGTCTCGTACATCTTTAAAAGTTATATTTCATTCATACTGAGAGATCAAAAATATTAAGAGTTGTAATAGTTTTAGTATACCTTTAGGAATTCTAATAGATTATTGCAAAAAGTTTCTTCAAAAATGCGGGCTTGAAAGAGAGAATGAATTGGAAGAATTAAGTTTTATGAAAATCTCCCTTTAAAATACGCGTAAATGCTTTTTTGAATTGTTGATTTGCCATAGCGTAACAAAAAGGATTAATTGGACTATTTGCGTAACATAAGAAATAAGTAAAATAAAATAAATGATGGTTTACACATCCTGTAGCATCTCTGCAAAAACCAGCAACTAAAGCACAGATATGATATGGAGTCCAACAAACTACAAATGCTCCTAAAATGAAAGAGATTGTCCTGAGAGCTTTCCGAGCTCGATTTTCTGACTTTGATTTATGCCTTTTACTCCTGCTCTTTTTTCTTTTAGGGACTCGGATCTTTTTACTTAAAGCTGAAACTAACGTTTGGGCTGACTTTGTTTCTGGGCTGATTGCTTCACTTTCTTCAGCGACTGGAAGTAATTTCGTTGCAGTCTTACCAGAATTGGATTCAACAATTGTATCCTTTGGTGTCACATCTACTTCGAGTGTTTTAAGTGAGGAATCCTTAGAGCTACTTGGTTTTATTTTTGCTTCAGTTACCGTTTCAAGAGAGATCTTTCCTTTTTCATGTGTTGATGGATCGAATGGTGAAGTTATAGGAGGTTCTTCAATAACTCTCGAAATATTACGGCTTTCTGACGAATTTTGTACATTTGGTGAGCTTTTTTCAGAACCTGGATACGAATGAAGTTTAGTTGAACCTGTTGATGATGATGTAACGGTTAAATTTGGTGTAGGAAGAATTAAACTCATGAATGATTTTTCAGTTGGTGAAGAAGTTTCAAGACGTGGTATTGGTATCTGAATTCCTGCTGAAGGTTTCTTCTTATACTTTTTCCGTTTCTTTACAGGCTTAATTTCATCACTTTGCTGAAGCATTTCATCGAAGTCAGAATCAAAGCCTACACTGCTAGAGCGATCATCTGAATTATTTTCTTCTAAGTTTCCGGCATTAACATTTCTGGTGGGACTAATGTCACTTGGTTGTCCGCTTGTTGAAGTAACAGCAGCTATTGAACCGATGACAGCTCCAGCCACGCCTCCCATTGCAAAGCTTTTAATATCATTTCTTTCTTGTACTAAAAGTGTATTTTGAGATACAGGCGTCTTAATATCCGGCTTTGATTTACCTAAGGCAACCAGAGCTTGGATTTTCCTTTGTTTCTCCATAGATCGTTTTTGCATTTGACTTGCTGTCCTGTAAAAAAAAAATATTATGTTAGCATAATCTGTTGTTATACGTGTAAGCTATTTCAATTTGTTAATATAATGTGTAAACAATCAGAGAAATACCTCATAAAATTCACGTTTTATGTTGATTCAATAAACTTTTAACTTTAATGATTGACATTCAAATTTATTTAATGCATTTGTTCTTTGGTAAGTCTAAAGTTTTATACAAGCACTCGATTGGGTACCACCACTATATAATTCCTGATGAATCAATAAATAGGTTATTTTTTAAAGTATTTACTTGATCAATCCGGCCTTGAGGTAGAAGCCTTGAAAATGACAATGCGGAATTCATTGGATGTTGTAAGTACCCTTTACACTAAAATTCCGGTAAAATAATTAACAGCTGTCTGCCCATCCAATCAACCGTAAGTTTATGATTACGAACACTTTTTAACCTTCAGGGGCTTGAAACTGTTTAATATTGGTCTGGTTAAAAACCGTGAATTTCCAAACTGTACGTTTTTTTAAAATTATTTACAACTAGCATGGTTTTAAAACCATAAGAATTTAACTGGACAACATTTGAGTTAGTTTATGCCAGGCTTTTTGTTAAGTAATGGACATTAGATTTAGATTATGGTTCAGTTGTGTTTTGTCGAGAGAACTGTAGAATGTGGCTTAATTATTTTATATAATGGTTCCATCTATCGTGAGAGATGGGAATTGCTAGAAGTTTTGTGTTAAGCTGCTGTGTGGAGCTGCCATTTCTACGTGAATTGGAGTTTCGTTCTCCAATAGTCCTGGAGTACCAATTGAGGAGTGCTGGAGACTAGAAACTCCCCATGCGTGTTAATGGAATGGAGGAAATATTATAATATCAACGCTGGGATTTAATCGGAATGCTCAATCCTTATCACATGGCTTAGATTCCAGATTTTGAAGAACATGCTCTCGATTCTCATTGGCTGTGGAGCAGAGCTTGTTTAACATTATTAGGTGAAAACAGTCACTAAACCATTGTTAACAGTTTGAATACTATTTTTATGGTTATTTGACTGTTTTGGTTGAATATGGTAAAATAACAATTAAATCAATTGTTTTTTTAACCAATTTTCTAACTGTGTAGAAGTCTTAAGGAGCATACAATAAAACTCTCACAAAATCCTGTTACGGGGGTAAAGGTGGGGAGAAACTCAAACAATAATATATAGACAAATAAAGTATTGTTTTTAATGTAGTTTCCTTTCACAGATTAGATTGAGACCAAGCAAAAGTTAATAGGATTAATTATTTAGAAATTGCAAGGATTTTTTTAAAATACCATTTTTGACTTTGCATGAACGTAACCCTTATTACCTCTAAACTGTTTATCCTATGAATTATGATTTTGCCTCCTTCAATTCAGCGTACGAAATACAAGAGAAAAATATCTTTCTTATTTTGTTAGAAATTAAATAGCAATGTGTAAATAAGTATGAATAAAAAATACTATTTTTTATGTATCTTCTGGTCCAGTTCGAATTAGCGTTAAAAACATTTATCTATTAAATGAGTATTCTCTCTTCTTGTATCATTCTTTTCTCGCCAAAACAAGATATTTTATGCAAGATTACTCGTATATTAGTTTGAAAGCTTATTTTTTAAACTTAATTTTACTGTACGATCATATATCACATAAACTATTAGTCAATAATTGCTTGCATGTGAATAACAAAACAAAAATATAAAGTTTATTCAAGTAAAATATTATTCTTCCTTTTTTAACGTTTCTTAAATAAAATAATAGGTTAATCAAGTTTTGATTGAGTTTGTTGTCTAGTAATATATAAGTATAATACAAAATATACTAGAAAATAATTTATATTTTTCTATGTATATTACAATGTACGAAAAGCAATATACTTTACGTTCATAAATTGCAATATAATAATAACAGGAAATTTTTGAAAAACACATTAATTTTCTTTTTAAAATACGTATAATCTAACTGTGAATTTTAACTCCCAATATAAAACTATTTTCTTAATTTGAACTTTATATAATTATATTTATAGCTCAAAACGTGCTTATATAAAAACTAATAATGTATAGAAAGAAATAACGATGACATCAAGAAAATTCTGAAATTAGCTGTAAATGGCGACTCACGGAAACGGAAAGCTGACAAAGGCAGCCAATCTCTCAAATGTCATCTTTATGAAGACAATTTGTGACATTTTGTTATGAAAATATAAGTAGCTTACTATTTATGTTTTACCTCTGCTCATTTGAGCAAAATTGCGTTTCTGCAAATTTTCACATTTCCCTGCGCCATTCTGTAAGATATTATTGATCTGATATGGAGCTAAAAAAACTATTATTTTGTTTGAAAATATTTTTATAACAAAAAATGTGAAAGTTTTGGTGTGTATTAATGTCGTGAAATATCTTTCAATGTTTGACGACAAATTTCCAATATAATATGAAACTTGTAAATGATTTTAAAGGTAGAAATCGAATTAAAAGAAATTTTGAAATTATTAACTCTGAGAAAAATCGTTTAATAACTGTTTTCACCCAATACGGTTAAAAAACCAGAATTTCCTCGCTCCAACTAGACCCATCTAATGACGCCACTTAGTTAGCCACAAAGCCGAGAGGGTTAATCTGTCAATCTCGTGACTCACAGAATGGCTGTTCGAGTCCTAGTGTTGACACCACAATATTTCCTTCATTCTCTTCAACATATGAAGAGTTTCCAGTACCTGCGCTTTCCAATTTGTGACCCTGCACTATTAGAATACAATACTTTCATTCACGCATAGATGGTGGCATCATAAAGGTGCTAAATTATCTCCAATACCCAGTTAAATTTCTTTTTTACGGTTTCGAAACCATGCTAGTTATAAAAGGCTAAAAAACCGTATAATTTTCTATTCATTTTTATTTAATCATACTAGTTGTAAATGGTATCAAAACCGTATATGTACTTTACGGTTATGTATGTTCGGTTAATTAGATGGACAGACGGCTGTCGGTTATCTTACCATATTTTTAGAATGAAAATTCCAACACTGTGGTGTGATTCCATAATCAGCAGGTCAATCTGTTTTAATGATTACCTATGTTTTTGTATTGTAAAATGCCAAACATCTATATCATACTCCTTCTTAAATGCTCAAAAAAGCGGTTTATTGCTCAACTATTGCATCGGAACCATAAATTCGTTCAAACTCACTGCAATCTTAATATGATACCACCATATTAATTGCCGGCCGGCCTGTGTAGTCGGCAGGGAACTGTCCTTGCATCAGAAAGGTCCTGGGTTCGAATCCCGGGCAAGGTATGGAAACTTCTTTCTCTCTCTGTTTCTTCTATGTTCTTTCTCCTTCGTGTGCGAATGCGACCCGTCCTATAAACGGGTTGTGGTTGTGTGAATGGCGTGGCAGAAGTCGAATTCCTGGTCATAGATGGCGCTATTGAAAAACAGGAACAATCGCACCCCCACTGCCTGAACAGGCATACGACAAAAAAAATATTAATTTGACTTCTTAAACTTGCTTGCACAGTTCATCTTAAATGGTTAATTCCTCATCTTATTAAGGTTGCAAAGCAATTTGAATGGCATGGATACAATTATTGAACTGATTTTTTCTAAGAAAGAAAGTGCGATGAATTTTTTTTTTTTCAAAAATAGATATTTTAATTTTGATTTTACTTTTTACAATGATTTGCATGTTTCATAACAGTATCTTGGAAATTTTCAACAATCTTAAAAGCTATAAAAAGGACTTTAAATATTATTTTATTGCATTATAATATTGTTTCAAACATTATTTATGTGACTTCAAATGTAATAAAATGGGAAGAAAAAATACCCCATTCTTTCGTGGAAGACATGTTTAAATGAATATATTTTTTTATTTCCAATGCCCAGCCGTATTAACATTTCGTCAATTCTGGCATTTTAAAGGGCAGGTTTGTTGGTCACTCTTTCAGGGGCACCATATTAGATGGATCAACGTTGTTCCCACTTTAACGACAGATAGTACAGAGAATGAAAGAACATCCATGCCTCGTCCGAGATTTGAACCCAGAATCTTTCCGTTGCAAGGCCAGTTTCCTGATCCCTACACAGGCCTGTCAGCTGTTTAAATGAATATAAAATTTCTATAAAAACCTAAAAAAAACAAAAAATAATTGGGCTATGATAATATTTAATTTATCATTACCGAATAGTTATGACAAAGGTGATGAACGTATATAATTTTTTACGTGGTATAATTATCGGACATCTGGAATGTGGGCGTAATCAGATAAAAGCATCTGATGAATTACCCAGAGCGTCATTTCTTGCCATTGGCACCGGTTTCAAGATGATGCTCGTCAGCTACGGGTGGCACAGTTTTAAGGCAAATCGTGTAGAGACGTTTGGGAAATATTGGTCGATATGCTCGGTCAGAAGTGTTCCTCTTATGGTAGCTCACTGTCCCCAGCAATTAATCTGGAGTAGAGTGCTTGCAATGTGGATATTGTCAGGGTCTATACTAATGTGATGCTTTCTGATGAGTCCAAGTTTATCTCGCAGTTTGATTCACGTCGGGACATTGACATGAAGAACATCATATGAAAGGCACACACGTTACCATCAAGACAACATCATTGCGTGACACTATTACTGTGATGCAGATTTGGTCGTTTGGGGTGGAATTATTCTGAACTCCAGATGAGATCTGCATGTTCAAATCGAAACTATGATAGGCTAAATTTATGGGGACATCATTCTGGAACAACATGTTTAAAGATGCTATGGGCGTCGATTTTTTGCTTAAGGCTGACAATGCTCTTTTCACCAAGCAAACATCGTAAACGAAACTTTTCAATCTGAGGATATCAAACGTATGGAATGGCCAGCATTATAACCAGACTTGATTCTTATAGAGCATGTGTTGGATATGCTTTGGCGACGAGCTTGATCCGTCTATCACTTTCTTCATGTGTAACTGAATTGCTTGCTGAGCGGAGTAATCTTTCCTAAGCTCG